AGATTTATCGTCAGTTTATCAGAGAAGTTGTTCGGTTCTTACCAAAGCACCTGATGATGTGGTAAATTTGGTCGAGGTCTGAGTCTCCGGGAAACAAAGGCTGACCTGTGAACATCTCTAATAACAGACAACCAACAGCCCACACGTCTACTGGTCTACACACACACACACACACACACACACACACACACACGGTCAACATTTCTACCTGATCATCATCCTCAGGTCTTCATGTAAACACTTACTTTCCATATTTGATGTCTCCCACCAGCAGTTCAGGAGCTCTGTACCAGCGAGTGGCAACGTAGTCGGTGTAGACGTCGCCCGCTAAGGTGCGGGCGAAGCCGAAATCGCACAGCTTGACCACGCCCCCCTGAGAGATGAGGATGTTCTCTGGTTTAATGTCCCGGTGGATGATCTGTGAGGAACAACACCGAGAAAATACTGAAATATGTGATCCTTCATCTGACAGCCTTGTTGGGAACTCATTGAACATCCATGTTCATCTTCTTCGTGGGTTACCTGCAAGTGCAGTGTGTGTTGGCTCAGTGGGGATTGAACCCTCTAGTGGATATTCTCTATATTGTAAGGAGGCTAATAAAGAACTGTCTGACCTGTATAAAGTCTAACGCTGCGTTCACACCAAACTACGCAACACGACAGTTCAGGATTTGTGCCTCGGGATCATTTGCGAGAATTTGCATGTTCCCCTCCAGAAAAGAGGAGAAGTACTGAAGTGACGACAGGAGAGTTGATCATTCATCCAGAAGATCACACAGAATTTCACCGTCATCTCCAGGAGCAGCGTCTGGATGAGGACGTTTCCAGCGCTACCTGACGCTAACCAGTGGTCAGTAAGATGCTAGCTAAGGTCAGTGCCAGAGCCTGAGTTCAGTGTCACTCTTATTGTTGCATTATTCACGTCACCTGGGGGGGGGTGAATGAAATTTGCGTCGATTTGCTTCTTTGCATGGATTTTGTCTCATGGTGGGAAAAATTAGCTTTGCGTTTGGTGTGAACGCAGCACGTGACCAGTTCAGGGCGAGCGTGTGTCCTCACATTCTGCTGGTGGCAGAACGCTGTGGCCCTCAGGACCTGGTACAGATACTGACGGCTGGTGTTCAGGTCCAGTCCACTCGGGTTGTGCTCCAGATAATCGAGGAGAGTCCGCTCCACAAACTCAAACACCAGATACCAGCGCCGCCGACGCTTCCACACCTCCAGAAGGTTCACCAGGTTGCCGTGACGAAGTTGCTTCATGGTTAGAAAGATGAAGAAGGTTTGAGCAGTTAAGGCTGAACGTGGTTTTTAACTCGTTATCAAAGTATTTTTAAAATCAACAGTGAAGGTCGCTCGTCTCTGCTAATCTATTTCTTTTCCACATTTCTTTGCTGCCAGCAGCTGATTTCTCCTCTTTTTTCCTCCGGTTGTAAATTAATGAACAGTCGCAGACTCGTCAGGTTGTGATTGACGAGCTGCTTTGTGTCTCAGGTTTCCGGCTCATTGATTGACAATGGAGTGATTGACAGGTACCCTGAGCAGCTTGATCTCCCTCAGAGCGATTTTCTTCACCGTCTTGTCATCGTCAGAGTCCACGAACTTCTTGATGGCAACGAGTCGGCCGGAGTCCCGATGACGGCACTTCAGCACCGAGCCGTAACTGCCCTCGCCGACCAGACCCAGAGACTCGTAACGCTCCATGAAGTTACTCTGGAGAGAAGAAGAGGAAACTCTCCTCTGAACCATTTTATAGAAACAACTTATCACCACACATCCAGTAACAAGTTTACAGACAAACTACAGGACAGACTTCCAGTTTACTCGTTGGAAGGATGTTTTATATTTGTTATATTTGTCTCACATCGATTATTTCTGCTGTTTCTCAACATAAAAGCCAAATATTCATCGATAAAATACTTTGCATCATGTAAACACAGTGAGGAGTTCACGGAACTGATCGACCTCAGTTTCATAAAATGTTTTAAACTCATAAAGACCAGTTCAAACCTCATCTTACACTTAAACAAATAATAATGAGACACACTGCTGTTCTGTTGACTGACATCAACACATCATTTATGGCCACAACACCAAGAATCCTCACCTGAAAAAGAAATAATATGTCAAGTATTCAAATATATATATTAAACGAGAGAAATGAAAATTAAAACTGAAGAAAAAAAATCATAACAAAAAGAACAAAGTGACCATGAAACAAGACAAATTATAT